TCGGGTCGCAAGTGTGGCAGGCGTGGCACGTCCTCGAACCACATGGGGCACGCTGGGGGTGGTCGCTATCCGTTTCGGGCTCGCAGCGCGTGGCAGGCGTGACGCAGGGGCGCGCATCCTCGACACCACAAGGGGGCGCGCTGGGGGTGGGGTCGCTATCCGTTTCGGGCTCGCAAAGCGTGGCAGGCGTGGCACATCCTCGAATCCGCATGGGGCGCGCTGGGGGTGGGGTCGCTATCCGTTTCGGGCTCGCAAAGCGTGGCAGGCGTGGCGCATCCTCGACACCACAGGTGGGCGCGCTGGGGGTGGGGTCGCTATCCGTTTCGGGGTCGCAAAGCGTGGCAGGCGTGGCACATCCTCGACACCACAGGGGGCGCGCTCGGGGTGGTCGCTATCCGTTTCGAGCTCGCAAAGCGTGGCAGGCGCGTGGCAACATACTCGACACCACAGTGGGGTCGCTATCCGTTTCGGGCTCGCAAAGCGTGGCAGGCGTGGCACATCCTCGACACCACAGGGGGCGCGCTGGGGGTGGGGTCGCTATCCGTGTCGGGCTCGCAAAGCGTGGCAGGCGTGGCACATCCTCGACACCACAGGGGGCGCGCTGGGGGTGCGGTCGCTATCCGCCTCGGGCTCGCAAAGCGTGGCAGGCGTGGCACATCCTCGACACCACAGGGGGCGCGCTGGGGGTGGGGTCGCTATCCGTTTCGGGCTCGCAAAGCGTGGCAGGCGTGGCATGTCCTCGACGCCACAGGGGGTGAGCTGGGAGGTAGGAGGAGGAGGAGGTTGGTGAGGAGGTAGAGGAGGAGGAGGGGAGGGAGGAGGAGGTAGGAGGAGAGGAGGAGGGGAGGAGGAGGAGGAGAGGAGAGTGGGGCAGCTAGCAGCGCGCGGCAGCAGCTTAGCAGCTGCTGCAGCAAGCAGGAACGCAGCAGCAGCAGATGCAGCAGCAGCAGAAACAGCATGCAGGAGCGGGACACCGAGGTGTGGAGAGAGGAGCACGAGCAGAAGACCGATGGTACACATGGGAATAAAAATAGGTATGTGGGTTCCTCGTAGCGTAATTTTTCTGGGGGGGGGGGGGGTTCGAACCGGTAGTGACACCGTGGACCCCCCCGTTTTCCGGAGAGGGGGTTTTCCGGAGAGGGGTGGGGGTCGATTTGTTAGTGACCCCCATCTCGGTTTTCCGGAGGCTGGGGGGGGGGGGATGGGGGGCGGCGGGGTTGGGGAGAGAAAGGGGGAGGGGGCATGGGGGGGGTCCAGCAGGGGAGGGGGGGGGATTTTCGGAGGGGGGGTGGTGGCCCCGGGTTCCGGAGGAAGAGAGGGGGATTTGTTTCGCAGTAAAGTGGCGGTGGATCACGCTCTCTCCGAGGTCACCGCACTTTCTGTAGCCACATGGTTTTGGGACCCCAAGAACAGCGCCGACCCTAAGTCGGCTTCTGTTGTAAAGAATATAGAAGAGTCGAAGCAGTTGTTTCTGTGTTGGTGTTTCTTCCTTTGAGAAAACGCTCCCGGGGGAAGGGTCGGAGTTTCGTGGACACGGCATCGAAAAATGCAAAACATCGGATGTGTGGGTGCAGCCTCGCCCGTCCTCCATCCTTGTCTTCCACCTTCCTCCCTCCTCCCTCCTCTTCCTTCTCCTCCAACTTCGTCTTATCCTCCTTTTCATCTTCGTCCTGAGAACCCATCGGATGATGACGAAGAGGACGCAGCATGCCGCCAGGTAATTCGGGATGCGCACGATGCCGCCAGGTGAGCATCGGCAGGTCAAGCTGTCGCCTCCGCCGCTTGCTGTGTGCCCTGCTGCTGCGTTGCTCATCCTCCCCTCCTCTTGCACAGTATTATTGCGGTCACCGCAGACTTATCGTTTTTCAGGGCAGTGCGCAGCAGGAGGAGGGAATGGATCGAGGTGTTGGATCGTCTTTTAGGTGGAGGGCGGGGACGGGGGCCTCCCGGGCTTTGTAGAGACCACCCCCGGGGCCTCCAGAGACTTCCCAGCGACCTCCATGATCCAGGGGGGCCTCTGGGGACTCTGGCGAAGGAGGGCCCTCAGACGTCTTCCTGCGACTCCACGGATCGCCGCGGGGGTCTCTCGTAGTATCTTCGGCGTCCAGAGTTTGGAGGCCGTGTCTGGACACAGGGCCGTCAACACAGAACGGCCCAGAATGAAAGGGCTGCCCCGGGGGAATTCGTCTGCCGTCCATGCTGCGGGGGGCCCAGGGCGTGGGACGACGACGACAGCAGCAGCAGCAGCAGAAGAGCCCCAGGGCAAGGACTTGCCCGAATGCCCAGCTCGAGAGCTCGTGGGTTGTCCTGACCGCTCTTCGCACCGCTCTGCTTTGTGTTTCCTTTTCCAGGCAATCCTAGACATCCGACGAGGTGATTTTGCCAATGCGCGGACCCAGAGGTCCTCTGCCCTTGCCCTGGAGTAGTTGTCCGCCCCAGGTTCATGGTTGATGACCCCAAGACCCCAAAACAGGCCCCATAGGCCGACACTGATTGGAAACAATGTGTTACAAAAGCATGCCGTCGGGAATTGGGGGATAACGTGTCGCTCCGCCAGTTCTGGCCCACCACGCGTCGGCACGACGTGCTATCCATTTCCTGGTCTCCCAGCATCCATGTCCCCAGCTTTCCCCGGCCTCTCGCCCCGCGGAGCGACGCGCTATCCGCATGCAAGGCACAGCGCGTCGTCGGGGCCGCCAAGGCGACACGATGGCCAGAAGTTCCCAACCTTATCGTCGGAGACGAAGGAGGAGGAGGAGGAGGAGGAGGAGGAGGAGGAGGAGGAGGAGGAGGAGGAGGGAGGAGGAGGAGGAGGAGGAGGAGGAGGAGAGGAGGAGGAGGAGGAGGAGGAGGAGGAGGAGGAGGAGAAGGAGGAGCAAGAGGAGGAGGAGAGGGAGGAGGAGGGTGAGGGGGAGGAGGAGAAGGAGGAGGAGGACTGCGCACCGAACCCCAGGGCAGGGGGCCAGCGGCCCGAGAAGCGGGGCCGCGTCGTCGGAGATCTCGGCGATCTCCCTCCCCGACCCGCGGGGCGGGTGCGCGGCGCGGCCTCCGCCGAGGTCCTCCTCCTCGGCGCCCGCCGCGGCGGCGGCGGCCGGCGCTGCCCCCCCCGCGGGGGCCAACGCCGGGCTGGCGCAGCTGCACGCAGAACCCGGGGGGAGGTCGGCGGTTCGCGGCATGGGCCTGTCGGGTGTTGCCAGAAGTGCCCCTGGCCCAAGGTTCCCCCAGGATTTCCAAGGAAGCCCCCACGGCCTCCAGAGCACCCCTCACGAGGCCCAGGGGCTCCAAAACTGAGCGGAAAGCTGGGGCACCTTGGGCCAGGGGCACCTTTAGCAACCCCCGAGCCTGGCCAGCCCTGGCTTGGGAGCCGTCTTGAGGCTCCGAGGTGGCCCAGCACCAGTTCCGGCCAGCAGGGGATGGGCGGCACGGCGGTCGGGGCGCGCACGGCGCGGCAGATGCGCAACGTGCTCCACTCCCGCCCAACAGAGTGGCACATGCTCTAGCCGCGCCAGGTGCGCGGAGTGCGCGGAGTGCGCGTGACAGCACACATCGGGCCATGTGGCGACACGTCCACCAGCCCTGTCAAGCAAAAGCCACTGCAGAGCGGCGGTGGGGTGGTCAGCATGGGTTACACGGTGTGGGCTTCCAGGATCAGTTTGGATCTGGCTCTGGTAGCGACGGTGTGCCAGCGCACGGCGGACGGCTATGATCACACACCCGCCACTCCTGACACAAACCATGCGAAGCGTTCGCGGGGTGCCCGCTCACGATCCAGAGAATGCCACCACGTGCACTGTGCTTTCTGACTCTATAGGCAGGCATGGTGTGGGGGGGTCGTTGTGTTTGGTCGGCAGCCGTTCGAGTCGGCGAGGGGTTGTTGATAAAAACGAGCAGTGGTACGCCCCTCTCCTAGGGGGAAGAAGTAGGCTCGAAGAACAAACTCTTTAAGCCCACTTGTGCCCAGAGGGCTAGTGGCTAGTGGGATCCGTTTCGTCTTCGGGAGCATCACAGTGGGCCCTTGTCGCCATGGCCAGATTCGCCCTGCAATGTTTGTCAGACCGTGCCCCAGGATACATTGGGTGGTCGATCGGTCTTGCGGGAAGGAGAGTGCAGAAGAGCGGGAGGGGGAAGGGTGAACGGGGAGAGGGGGGGAAGCAGAAGGGGAGGCGTGAGGTGAGAGGGAGGGCGGGGGAGGGAGCAAGAGGACCAGTCAGGAGCGACGATAGGGGGAGATCGGCCGCAGTGTGGAACGCATCGACCCGCACCCACTCATCGCCGATAGGGACCCGATAGCCAGCCCCGCCCAGAAACGTGCGGATTCGCGGTGGGGGGCCTATCGCCGACCTATCGGCGATGTATCACTGATTCATGGTCGATGTTGCCCCTTTCCCCCCCGAGCCAGCTCCCCATTGTCGCTGACCCTCAACCAAGAGGGAGGTGCCCCCTGCCCCACGGGGATCGGCCTGGTTCTGCCGACCTCCCCCCGAGACAGAGAGAAAACGGCGCGAGGAAGAGCGCAAGGCCAGCGAGGCGGCGGGGAGACGGCGCTCGGGGCATGCCAAGCCCCCCGCCCAGACCTGCAGCGTCGCGAGATGTTCCTTAGACGGCTTGTATGTGTCGCCGCGCCGGTTGTTCCGACGAGCGGCTTTGCGTCTTCGGGAGAGCACCTCGGCTACCAGGGCAAGCTCCGCCTCGTGCGCAGGCTTTGCAGTTGGTTTGCCGCGGTGCCGACTTCGTCCACAACCGGCGCGGCGACGTGTGAGGGTTTTGAATCACTCTTCTGACGCCGGGTGATTGCTGTTGGGCCCCCGGCAGCCGTGGCCCCATCGTGGCTCCCCTCCGCGCGAATGTGTAACGCTGCCTGCCGCAAGGGTGGGTGTCGTTCATGACCTTGGCACCTGAGCTCTCAACCCCAATCTACGGGACCTCTTTTGTTCGCCGCGAGTTGTTTTTCGTGGTTCAGGAGTCCCGGGCCCTCCTCCGCGCCCCTGGCCGCACCGCAGGCAGCAGATCGAGGCGGCCAGGCTGGAAATCCAGCAGGCCAAGAGGGTGGGCAAGCAGAAGCAGGCCTGCCGCGGACGCCTCACCGGCAGCACGAGCATGAGGAGGAGGAGGAGGAGGAGGGGGGAGGAGGAGGAGGAGGAGGAGGAGGAGGAGGAGGAGGAGGAGGAGGAGGGGAGGAGGAGGAGGAGGAGGAGGAGGGAGGAGGAGGAGGAGGAGGAGGAGGAGGGAGGAGGAGGAGGAGGAGGAGGAGGAGGAAGGAGGAGGAGGAGGAGGAGGGAGGAGGAGGAGGAGCATGGTCGGGGGCCCCCACAGGGTGCGGTGACCGCGCTGCGCGGGGTGGCCGCAGGGTTTTGGGACTTCGGTCGCTCTCCGAGGACACCTGGGGCGACTGGGGCTTCCAGGGTCTCGAGACCGCCAGGTGGCGCCCCGTGCGGAGGGGTTCTTTTGGGGATTCCGAGGTCACCGCGCGGTGTGTCACCGAAACGTTTCGGGACCCCCCACGCGGCCCAGACCCTCCTGCGTCGCGACCAAACAAGGGGGCCGTTGGGGGCCTTGGCCGGGCCGCGGGGCAGTCCAACATTGTTCCGACGGTTGGGCCCCACGCGAGAATGTTCCAAAGTAATCTGGAAGTATCATGTTCCTCGTTCTTTTGACTTCGGAGGCTTCCTCCCTGTCTCCTCATCGCCCTTCTCCTTTTCGCCCTGGCGGAGGCCCTCCTCCCACCGCGTCCTTTGCCTCCATCTCGTCTTCTCGTCTCCCCCACCCACCTCACAAGGGCGCGCGCGTCGATTTTACTTGGCGCCGTCGCCGCCTCGACTGGCGGCAGTGGCGCGTTTTCCGATGGCCTGATCACGAAGCCTTCGGGATTATGATGGCCGCCTCGGATTGCTAACATGAAATGCTAGCCCCATGCGCAGAGGGTTCCCGCTCGAGACTTCTCGCGTATCACTCACAGACGGTGCTCCCGCTCGAGACTTCCGCAACAGGCATCGGGAGCTCGAACAGTGATGACAGATATTGGTTTTCCGATGGCTATTTCGGATTACTAACAAGAAGCGCGGGCCCTACAGGGAGGGGACTCCCGCTCTATAGTTCTTCGCGCCTCACTCGCAGACGAGGCTCCCGCTCGAGACGGCCTCAATGTTCAGGCGCCAGAGGCCGGAAAATGATAACATATACAGGTCGTCCGATGGGCCGCCTGGGGTTACTACCATAAAGTGCAGGCCCTACAGGGAGGGGCGGCCCACGCTCAAGAATTCCTCGCGACTCACTTACAGACGAGGCTCCCGCTCGAAACTTTGTCAAGATATACTGGTTTCCCGATGGTCGCCGCAGATTGCAAGCATGAGGCGGGCACCCCATAGGGAGGAACTCCCATTCTAGAATTCTTCAATCTTCAGGCAACAGGGGCCCAACAGAAATGGCACTTCCAGATTTTCTGATGACCGCTTGGGATTACACACATGCTATAGGGGCCCTACAGGGCGGGGGCTCCCACAGCATACTTTCTCGCAGTGCACGCGCAGACGAGGACCCCGCTCGTCACTTCCTCACGGTTTGGCCCCTTGCGGAGTTGAAGTGAGATGTTGCTTACAGTTGTCCCGTGACCGCTTAGGACTACAGATGTTAAGCGGGGACCCCATACAGATGGGGTTCCCGCTCACAAACGAGTCTCCTGCTTGAGATGTCCTCAATCGCAATGTGCGAGTGACGTTCAAGTGTCTGCGGAGATGATGATAGTGATGATTACGATGATGGTGATGGTGATTATGATGACGTTGATGATGGTGTTGCTGATGATACTGGTGATGTTGATGGCGATGATGATGATGGTGATGAACAGAATGGTGATGACGATGATGATGACGATGATGATGATGATGATGATGATGATGATGATGATGGTGATGGTGATGGTGATGGTGATGGTGATGCTGATGGTTGTGATGGTGATGGTAATGCTGATCATGATGATGATGGTGGTGATGATGATGGTAGTGCTGATCATGCTAATAACGACGATGGTGATGCTGATGATGATGGTAATACTGGTGATAATGACGTTGATGGTGACGGTGATGACAATGGTGGTGATGATGATGCGGATGATGATGATGGTGGTGGTGATGATAGTGACGATGTTGCTGGTGCTGATGACGATGATGGTGGTGGTGGTGATGATGGTGGTGATGATGATGATGATTGCCGACCGTTATGGAGGGATGGTTCCAGTGATGATGGTGGTACCGACGATGGCGATGATGACGAAGCTGACAGATTTAATGATTATGGTGGTGGTGATGATGATGGGTGTGTGGTTGGGCGGGTTGTTTCTGCGCGTGGCGATGCTTGCGAAGGGGCATGAGAGGGGGCGAGAATCTCTGCTGCGCGAGGTGTGCAGAGAAAGAACAACCCCACTGAGAATGTGGGGGACTGCTCTGGATGACAAGCCAGGCATGGAAAAGGGGGGTGGGATCCTTGGGGGTCCACGTTGTGCGGAGACCATCGCGTCGGGGTTATGGGACCAATATCTTCCTGACAGGACAGGGCGGGCAGAGCAGCACAGGACAGGCCAGTACATTGCCAAGGTATTCATTCGACGGTCCCTCAAGAAAGAGCGTCATGTGATGCTGGTCGCCTGGCCTGAAAGATTGTCCAAGGCAAGAACTGGCGATCTGCCTGCGACTTCGAGTTCGCTGTTGCCGATCAAAAACGCATGCTGGCCACAGTACGGCACGCTACGGTTCCGTATCAGGAGCACGCGGTACTGGCACGGCTGCGCGGTGGCGGCATACGGCTCAGGGACCACGGCCGGCACCAGCAAGGTATAGCGCGAATTTGTCGCAAATCGGGTAGCGACCGTCCACCTCGGTCGCGACTGGAAAATTCCGGTATCCAATGATCAGGGCAAAGGGGGGGTGCACCAGAGGGGGGGCACCAGGAGGGGGGTGGCCACCACAGGGTGGTGGGGAGGGGCACCAGGGGGGTTGCGGGTGGACTACCGGTGGGGTGATTCCTGCAGGAACCTGGACACTCCGGAAGCGGCCCCCTGCTCTCGCGCGGGGGGCCGTCAACGGGGCTTGCCCTCCCGCGGTCCGATGCGGCCCGACGGGAGGGTTGCCTGGCCCTGCTGTGCATCTTGGTGCCATCCGATTTCCCGAATCAGTACTGAATGATCCTGCAGGGGCAACGTTTTAGGCCCTAGACTACCATGAAAAAGCGGAAACGGGGTCGACACAGCGTGCCGCACGGTGCAGTACCGTCGGGTACGGCAGATGCGGCCAGTAAGGTATCGATGGTCCAGCACGTTGGTCGCGGCCGGCATCGTTTGGTAATTACGGTGGTCGCGGCCGGTACGCAATCGCTTGGTACGGTAGCATCGGTTGGTTGGCGCGGTGGTTGAATCATCGCAGTGGTTGCCAAGGGGGGAAGGGGGTCATAAGTGGATACAAAGGCGGCTTATACATTGCCTCAGCTGATAAGAGGGTTAGAAGTAATTACCCTGAGTGGCGTAGGGGGTAAAGATCTGGGCCAAGTGGGATCCCCCCACTTAGCTGGGTGATCGAGTCCGCCCTGGCCCTTTTTGGGCAGTTGCACCGCACTTATGGGCCAGATTAGGCCAGATATAATCCACCTTCGCATCCATTTGTAAGCCACCTACCTCCCTAGGAACCGCTGCGGTGATCCCAGTACGGTACGGACGGGTACAGGTTGGCCAGCATCCAGTATTGCGGTGGCCATCATGAAAACGTTTGCGAACACCCAGACGGAGCCGATTGACATAACAGCGTGTTGTAATATCCAGGGCGACAGACTGTTGCATTACTTATGGAACATACAGTACGCCATCCTGCAAGCGTTTCACCACATGTGTTCACAGCAACATGATTCATGTCTGGCGCACGACCGTACGCCGTACGTCCTGAAATAAGTGCCCCAGAGGCTGCCCTGCCCAAAGCCGACTCTGACGACTTCGACGCTCTGCTTGAGGAGTTCACCGCCAAGGACGACACTTGCTCGTTCGGGAACTGCAAGGCTCCCAGTGGCGGCAGGAGGAGGGGCCTTGGACCAGGCAGGCGAGCTGGGAGGGCGGGGCGGAGGTGCGGAGGTTCCCTGCAGATGTTTGCGCCTCTTTGCCCATGCTTGGTGCCTCCGGGCCCCTCGAGGACCTCCGCAGCGGCGCAGCGGTCGGGAGCGGTTGCTAGGCGTGTCGCGTCGCCGGCTTTGGCCCACCACGCTTCGGCGCCACACGCTGAGCAGGTCCGTGCCCCCAAGCATTGAGTCGGGCGTGTCCCTCTACAGGAGGAATATTCAAAAATAGGCCAAAAACATCTAGGGACGATTTTTCTCTATTTTCTGTTTGACTTTTGACTGTGTCGTGTTTGTTTGATCGTTTTCTATTTTCGGTGCCAAAATCCGCCTGTAAGGGGGACATGCCCGACCTAACCCAAGCGTCAGAGCCCCAAGATGTTCCCCGCCTGCCTTCCAGCGGCAGGCGGAGGGACACGCCGTCAGCTTGCAGAAGACACAGAAGTGTCGCCGAGGCTGCCGGCGCTCGCCCCCCCGAGGCCCGGAGCCATGGCCCGCGGAGGCCAGTGGGGCCTCGTCCTCGAGGCGTCGACGGAATTGTCCACCACCACCACTACCATCGGCAGGACGGAGCAGAAGGGAGGATGGGAAGGTCCTCCTCCTCCTCCTCCTCCTCCTCCTCCTCCTCCTCCTCCTCCTCCTCTTCCTCCTCCTCCTCCTCCTCCTCCTCCTCCTCCCTCTCCTACCTATTGGTAGTGGTGGCGGCACATGGGCCCTTCAGGCCTTGGCGGCAGGCCCCGGGCGGAGGCTGGCGGACACGTGGGGCACGTCGCCTCGCAGGACTCGAAGTCGCAGAGCTGCGAGAGTCCGCACACCGCGTTCGGGGGCAGCCGTGGTGGACGCAACGGAGCCGAGTTGGGCACGGCAGGCGCAGGGGGGGGGAGGCGAGGAGACAGGCGCAGGGGGAAGCGAGGACCTTCCGAGCCTGGCGTTGTTGCACGTGCGTGCCGAAGCACGCGCACGGGGCAGACGTGGAAGCCCTTCTGGAGGAGCGGAGCTCGAGCCGATGGGCCCTGAGGCACACGGGTCCTCAGCTTTTCCGCTGCTCTCGGGCTCAGGGGGCGCCCTCCCCGGGCCCCCAAGGGCCGTCGGAGAACAGCTCGGGACGGAGGGCTGATCCTGACGGCCGGGGGTCCGGGACCCGTTTCGCTTCCCGCAGGATCCGGTTCCCCCATGCCAAGGAGCCAGCGGCCTCGTTGGCGGAAGGTCGGCGGAGTCCGTGGCGCTCCGGCGGCGTCGCGGCGCCGAGCGGCGCGCTGTTTTCGCTTGCAGGGCACAGCTAGTCGCCAAAGCCTCCTCAGCGGCGCGTGAAGCAAAAGTTCCTGACCGTGTGGCACCGGCGGCCCCACCCGCGGAAGATGGCGGCGGAAGGTCGGCTCCGCGTCGGCGGGTTCATCAGGGATGTCCCAGGAGTGCGTTGCTGCAGGCCTCCAAGATGGGGTCCGAGCAGATGTGGTCGGAGGATCGCGCCGCATCGCCGATGCCTCGGCGATGCGGAGCCCGATTGCGAATGCCTTACGGCCGGTGCCGCCGACCCTGAATGGCGACGACGACGACGACGACGACGACGACGACGACGACGACGACGACGACGACGAGCGTTCTCGGGGGCCTCTTGGGGGTAATTTGGGGGCCTCTTGGGAAGCTCTTGGGGGCCGCTTGGAAGCCTCGTGGGAGCCTCTTGGGGCTTCCTGGGGGTCTCTTGGGGGCTTCTTGGGGCTTCTTGGGGGGCTTCTTAGGGACCTCTGGGAGCCTCCTGAGAGCTTCTCAGACCGAGGGCTCGAAATGTCTGTTCGGGTCCCCCGTCTGGGCTCCTCCTTAGAGCCGTTTTGGAGGCCTCTTGGTCGGTCTTGGGGCCCTCTTGGGTCGGTTTGGGGCTCTCTTGGAGGCCTCTCGGGCCATCTTGGGGCGGTCTTGGGGGCTTCTTGGCCTGTCTTGGAGCGTCGGGAAGCTGACAAGGCGAGAATGCCGAAATCGTTCAAACATTTACGGGAAGTCGATGATTTTTGCTTTCCGGGACCCTCATGGAAGTCCTCTTGGAGGCCTCTTGGGGCGTTTTGGTAACCTTTTGACCCGTTTGGAGGCTAGTTTGGCGACTTGGACCGATACTTCGGCGATTCGGGGCCCTCGAGGACCGTCTTTGGGGCATTTTGGGGCACTTTTGCCGCGTCCTGCGGCTTCTGTTGGCCGCCCAACCGCCTGAGGGGGAGTCGTATTTGCCCTGGGACCCCCCCGGGACCCCTCCCCCGGGACCCCCCCCCGGGACCCCCCCCGGGAACCTCAACCCTGGGACCCCCCATCCCCCCCTGGCGGGGAAGGGATCAAAGGGAAGGGGCTTCCCTTCGACTCAACTACAACGTTGTTAAATTTCGCTGTGGCTGGCGCGTTCAAGGAGAAACCCGGTGAAAGTAGGGAGAACGGCAGCGGGCCTAGGGAAAAGGGGGGAAGCGAGCTGCGAAGGCGACGACGACGACGACGACGACGACAACGACCACGACGACGATGACGACGACGACGACGACGACGACGACGACGACGACGACGAGTCAAACGGAACAGCCTCTTCCACACGCCGACAGGGTCGGCGGATTTTTCTCCACGGTGCATCGCCGACGCCGCCCACACATCGGCGATGCATCGGCGATGCGGCGCAATCCTCCGACCCCATCTCCCCGAGCATCTGATCAAGAAAACTCCCCTTGAAAAGCTGGGCCAGCGTTTCTTAAACAAGTTGCCAGAAAGTTGGCTCATTGTCTTGAGCACGTTCGCCCCCCCAGCGTCAACACCAGAGATTTGCCCAGGCTCGTTTTGAGAGACTCCCTGAGATTTGGCCCAGACTTCTGAAATGGTCATACTCTTGACCACATGTTCGGCTGCACTCGCGGACCCTACAGTCGGCCCGAATTAGTAGGTCGACCCTGCCAGCTCAAGGGTACCCTTGTGTCCTGTGCCTCGCGACACGTGCCTCCTTACACTCCTATGGCCATGTGGTCCTCGGAAGGGTGTCGTGTCCTCTCGCGTGTCCTGTCCAATCAAGGCCGACTGTATGTGGGAGGCCTCCATGCATCAGGGGCGGGGGGGTGGGGCACTGCGTGTGCCCAGGGGCCCCTATTGTCCATGCCTTCGGCGAGGCATCTGGGCGAGCACGCGCATGGGCCACGCTCTGCGCTGCCCGCCCCTGCCGCAGCCCCGGGGCGCCGTTTTTCTTGGGATTCCAGCGAGCGGGGTGCATGGCTCTGCCTCATGCTGCTTCTGCTCCTCCTGCCTCTTTTCCTCTTCCTCCTCCTTCACATCTCTCCCCCCTCCTCCTTCACCTCCCTCCTGCCCCCTCTCCTCATCGCCCGTCCCCTCTCCTCCTCATCCTCCTCCTCCTCAAGCCCCCCCCCCTCCTCCCCTCCTTTTCGTGGTCCGGAAAGGGGGGGGGGCTTCCAAGCTACCCCCCCCTCCCTCGCTTTAATTGAGCCGGGGTGAGCCCCCCCCCCTTTGAAAGGGGGGGGGGGCTTCGGAAGCTACCCCCCCCCTCCCTTTTCGTGGCCGGAAAGGGGGGGGGGGCTTCCAAGCTACCCCCCCCCCTCCCTCCTTTTAATGGAGCTGGGGTGAGCCACACCCCCGCTTTGAAAGGGGGGGGCTTTGGAAGCCCCCCCCCCTCCCTCCCTTGGTGCAAAAGGGGGGGCTTGAAGCCCCCCCCCCCTTCCCCCCTTTGGCCGCCCAGCTCCCGGAGCCATCGCCCTCCCTTTCGCCTCCATTTATTCCCGCCCCTCTCCCTCCTCCTCTTCTTCCTTTTGCCTCCTCCTCTTCCTCGTCCTCCTCATCCTCCTCATAGTCATCATCGTCATCATCATCATCATCATCATCATCATCATCATCATCATCATCATCATCATCATCATCATCATCATCATCATCATCATCATCATCATCGTACTCCCCCGCGGGTCCTTCCGTTCCGTTCCTCCTCCTCCTCCTCCTCCTCCTCGGTTTTCTTCTCCTCCTCCTCCATTTTTCCCTTCTCCTCATCATCATCTTCCTTCTCTTCCTCGTCCTCCTCCTCCTCCTCCTCCTCGTTATCCTCCTCCGTTTCCCAATCCTCCTCCTCCTCCTCCTCCTCCTCCTCCTCCTCCCCTCCTCCTCCCCCTCCTCCTCCTCCTCCTCCTCCTCTTTTTCCTCCTTCTCCTCCCCCCCCTCCCCCCTCCTTCGTCCGCCTCCTTCCTTCCTCCTCCTCATCCTCCTCCTCCTCCTCCTCCTTCCTCCTCCCTCCTCCTCCTCCTCCTCTCCTCCTCCTCCTCCCCCCTCCGCCTCCCCCATCCTCCGCCTCCTCCTCCCCCAGCTGGCCGCCGTCTTACACGAACACTGCCAAACCCGACGGGCTGGCGTTCTCCGAATCACACTTCGTGCAACTTTCGGGAGGGAATTGTATTTTTCCCAACCCTCCTTGGTTGGGTATTCGTTTTGAATAGAGCAGTGTGGTCTCCACTTCCTCCTTCCCGTCCCGTCTCCCTCTTGCCTCCTCCTGTTTTGCTTGCGGGGGGCTGCGATCTGTGAAACTGTCGCCACTTTCGAGGCTTGCTGGGGGGCCCAGCACAGTGACGCCACGGGCGGACCCAAATTAGACCTCGCCATCCCTGGGGGGCTGCGATCTGTGAAACTGTCGCCACTTTCGAGGCCTGCTGGGGGGCCCAGCACAGTGACGCCACGGGCGGATTCAAATTAGACCTCGCCATCCCTGGGGGGCTGCGATCTGTGAAACTGTCGCCACTTTCGAGGCCTGCTGGGGGGCCCAGCACAGTGACGCCACGGCGGACCCAAATTAGACCTCGCCATCCCTGGGGGGCTGCGATCTGTGAAACTGTCGCCACTTTCGAGGCCTGCTGGGGGGCCCAGCACAGTGACGCCACGGGCGGACCCAAATTAGACCTCGCCATCCCTGGGGGGCTGCGATCTGTGAA